AGGTGACGAAGACGGTGAAAGAGTCTCGCAAATGATCAATCCTCGTTGATGTCATCACAAAATGTTAGCTTATGTGTCTTTTGGATATTTTATAGTCAACTAATATAAATTTAGCTTGTTGTATTCATTGTTTTTCTCCTTGGGTAGAATGTAGTCCTGAATCGGGTGTGCTTCACACACTCAATTTTATACAACACCCTTAGTTACAGTGGCGCACAAAATAAATAAACAAGTGTGTGCAGTAGGCAGGGCCGAAATCGGGAGAATCGATGACAATTATGAGGTGGATAGTGAAAGTTTTTTCCAGGGATATGGCTGTAAGCAAAGGAAAAGAAATAACTCACCAACTGTTGCAGATATGGAGAATATTTACAGCTGAATCTCTTTTTTCATATTGCCACGGAAGTGCCTAATTATAGCAATTCATCTTTAGACAAGATGCGTTCTGATAACTACAACAGGTTATATTGTTTCTGCATATATTCCCGCATAAATCGATGCTACCTCTATGGTTAAAATAGCTCACATGCATCGTCTTTAGCTATTGAGACAAAACCAATAATTCCTGTGTGATACATTCTTGGTGATATGGTTATTGGTTCATCAAGAAAGTGACATTAACTCTGAGTTGCATTCTACATTTTGTAATTATTGACTTTGGCAGAGAGAAGATAAGGGGATTTGGTCATGACGTTAAATATCACCATTGTAAATGTGGTCACAATGCACCTTTTGTTTTCCACACTGGTTACTTAACACAGTTGTGAAGAAATGCCGGTCTGAAATGATTTCGTTCCATCACAGAGTGAATTATAAAACACATTATAAAACACACATATAAAACACAGTGATACAGTTTCATTCACTGATAACGATTCAAGCACAATTTATTGCTCATAATCATATCATGATATCCGTGATGTTGTTTTGGAGCAAATGCATTTCTTACATAATATCACCAGATGCTCTGCGAATTCAACTCTTACAAGGTATAAGTATAATACTTATGCACTGTGATAGAATATAACTCCACATAGTGTTACACAGTAATATTAACTTATGAGCTTTTGAGCGCAAATTATTGCTCGAACCATATTTTTCATGATAATATTTGAATACTGAAGACATTCTGTAGCTGATAGGAGCTAAACGATACACTTCATAGTTGACAATTCCCACATCCTACATCTCGGAAATACTCCTTCGTCTCACTTCAAACTACTTTGTGAATGTCGAACGTTCATGGGACCACCACCCAAACTGTTAGTCAGCTACAGTACATATGAGAGGTTTACCTGCATCTTTAGAGTAATCAGAGGTGGATGTGAATGAAAAGCACATGTATTCCCTGGATTTAACATCACTGTTCAGACGCCAATAAATCACTGGGAAGTAGGTGTGTACTAGCATTTCTGAGTTTAGTCTGAATGCATTAGGCCCTGGACAGACACTACTTGTGAAATTCATCGTAACTAATGCACATTATACACAGGATTATGATGGCATTGCAAAAACTCCACATGGTTCGACAGTCAAATACTTGATAATATCCTTGATGTCGAAATAATGGAGGAGATTTGTAGTCCATGTGGATGATTTTGCATTGGTTGTGTTCAGAGGATACAACTGATTCAATAGGATCAGCGTGTGCTAACAAGCCAGCAGAAGATAATACTCATAGTCATGTGATCAGTGTCATCGGCTGATTCAGTATGTTACATCGCTAGTATCTGTATTCTTCATTGTTAGCATGGAGGTCGATAAAAGCAAGTTTTGCAATATTCATCCAATTGCATTGATTCGTAAATACTGGAGAAGTGAAAAGTCTGACTCCACTATGAATTTAGCATGGAAGATGTTGTCTAGGAGTGTAATGAAATCTTTACAATGGAACCATCCACCTGAATTGGCAAAGCAATAGTGAAATCACCCACATTTTTCACTTAATATTCACAGGTGAACTCTCACGAGGTTTTCTGTCTGCGGTGGTAAGATGATTCATCCTGCGGCCAGATAACTAACTAACATGAAACACGTTACTGTGATGGGTAGCTGCGTTGTCACAAACAGGAGCATATAAATGAGCTACAAGAGCCACAGCAAGAGTTGGTGGTCAGCAGTGATGTAGTATCTGAAGTTGACAAAATCCATTAAGAGGGAAGGATGTTGCATTTCATATACATAGACGAAACGACGGTATGATGCTTTATAAGCCATCACACAAACTTGATATTTAAATTCACTGGAGTTGGACTTAGTCATCGCGAAATCACAAATATTTGCACTTTTCACTCATCCCAGTGAGGGGTATTGTTTATTCATTGTAACTTAAACAATTCACTTACAATCATTGTTGGTTTGACTTCAGGAGAAATCACATCATCGGTTAGGTGGAACATAATAAGCAGATATTTGAATATAATCTTGAAGTGTTCTCAAATGCATCAGTGACATAGGTAATATGTTCTGGATTACAAATATAGCGACTAAAGTCTTCGAAGCGAGTTCCTCTCATGAACCACTAGATTTTATTCACTTGCATACACACTTCCAGTTTCGCTGTCATCTCTCCTAAAGTAAATGCAATGACGCCTTGTAATGAGAGACTGCTATGTAAAATTCTCACTTGTAATCAAATTACAAACCATGGACTCATTAATATATGCAGTTTCTACAAAACCAGACATTTATGTTGGAATGGAAGTGTCACATCGATTAGGATCACATGTCTTTTGTAACTGAAGCAGTCTTGATGACATTTATTCAGTACCTTGCTGATTTGTCAGTTCCATAACCACACTGTTATTCGGTTATTCATTTATTCTATCACAGAAGAGCCTTCCTGTGTGATACAATCGATATTTGAGACGATTTTCAAGATAAACACATCAGGTTTTATTCAAGAGACGTATGAAGACAAATATGAGAAGTAAGTGTGTCAATGCAAGTAACGAAAATAATACAAATAAGGAAGAAATCCAGAGTCTCGATAGTACTGTCATATAAAGAAAGAACATGAGCAACCCTAAGGAACTTTTATGAATAAGGGAAGGATAAGGTTGGCATTGGAACTAACTAACTCATACAGAGACAAACTACACAACATTCTTTTGCGATACATTTGATTTTCGTTTTCGCTATTTACAATCAGCTCGTGTTCTGATAGCCAAATTTATCTTCCACAATTTGTATTTACACCTCGTTTACTCTCACTACTTAAAATGATCTGGTAAATTTGTCTGAATACCGTGACTCTACACAAGAAACTGTTGCGAATCGACACACTTCATTGTGTTCAATATCACCACCAAAACTGCTAGTCAGAATTTAAGTTGCTTGACCCGAAGTAGCTCACGGAGACGGCTCTAAGCAGGAAAATGATGCCAGTGATCTCGTTCCCATTGGAGAGAAACGGTTGAATGTCCGGGATTTATTTCACTTCAGTATTGCTAGAAAGCAGATAAAGACTCCGCATATTAATCGTGGTGATATATTATCAAGCTATTTCGCCCGATTTCTTGACTCTTATTTATGATGAAAGGAGGATATCGAATTGTGGTCTGAATATTTGACGATGGGGAAGAGAGCTATATTGGGTTCCCAACACACGCATTTTAACTTACGAACAACAACTTTGAAACAACAGCGATGATCTGAGCATTTTAAAAGAGAACCCTAACGGACACCACTGCACGTTTGTCAAGGATCCCTTCCCATAGGACCTGAATAGAACTCAGACAATTATAATCAAACGGTTGTGTGCAGTCCTAATATCCAATCAAATATCTCTATATTTACTCACAGTGAGTTACGTATTTTACAAGAAATATGCCATATATTTTCGTACAGAATATTGGAGTGAATAATTCCGTTTGTCACTTCTGTGTTTGCATCTTGTAACTTTGTGCGCTCCAGATTCGCCATGAAGATGTTTGCGAATATATGCAACTCAGCGTGCTCGTACCACCAGTCCGTGAAGAAGAAATTTCGATTAATTCGTGACAGCATGTTATTTATGCCTGCTAGTTGGAAGCATTTGAATTGTGTGATAGTGACATTCGAAGAGATCGAAATACTTGAACACAGTATTTCTGCTGTAATACAAAGTCACACGTGTGAATAAACAAATTGAATCCTGGCGCTAAATCTTACGAATGATATTGTCATTAATCAGCTAATCACGTTGCAATATGTGGATTATGATAATCAAAATTATTGTTGTTATTGTATCTATAAGACGTCAATCATTTCAATGATACAGACAGCTAGTTTCAACTTTCCCTACTTCACTGCATTAGTATTGGCGTTCATAATTTGCTGTTAAGTAACTAATCTTCACTAGGTCGCCTAATTACATAGAGTGTGAGAAGGCTTGCATAATCCACCACAAGCGTAGACACATACTTAATTAAAAGTCAACCATCTGTTTGCCCATTCCTGTGCTTCGCATTATTATCCAGAAGCTTAAAGAAACATATTTTTTTGGTTTCATTGCAATTCTCCCGACATAACCAAAGTCTTTCATTCCACCTGTGGTCTTCAGTAGTTATCACCAACACACTCAGAGAAAAGTGCATCGGCTATGCGTATAACTGCATAACGAGCCTCCTCATAGAATAATCCACCTACCAGAATCAAAGTCTACCACTAGTGTGATCTGACCTAACGAAGCTTTGTTTTGTGCAAATAAATGAAATCATACAATCTGATTGAAAAGTGGAGGTATTCGCGTAGGTGTGGCTGTCTGTTTTCTATTCGTGTTGGCTTAAGAGACGTGCTGACATCAGTAGATAATATATATAAGAGAATAAATGATTGCTATATGAGGCATATTTCGAGCTCTTCAAAGTATACGCAAAATCAATGAAGCTCAAATATATATTCTCCAAAACCTGAAGAATTATCACATCACAAAAGCATCAGAATTCAGAAGTTGGCAGTTGATTTGAAATTACGGTTCTAAAACAATGTTCACCGAATTAAAATGCTCGAGCGAAATCACCACTCACTAGACCACTCAAAAAATAATAAAACACAATGAAAGCCACACACGTATTCACACACTACACTGATTTTATTACAATCAACAAGGATGAAAGACTCATAACAATTCTATTCATATCAGCTGGTAATGTGTGCTTGTATACACTAGAAGCTGGCCACCTCCTCGTCAGTCGGAAACAGGAATTTAGGAACGAATTTGCATCCCAACTTGAGCACCGGTGCCAGTACAGCTCTGATTGTCACTGGGAGCATAGCCAGCATACCGTCAGCACCTACACGACGAGAGAACACGTGGAGATTAGGACAGAATAAGAAGAGAGTTGTACACAGTTTCGAATCTCACTGTGCATCACAATGCATCCATCGGCCAACAACCAGTGAACACACTTACCTGGTGTGCAGATGAGAGCGATGAGTATTGTGGTGAAGATGAGGAGCGTGAGATTCTGTTAGTGAAAGGAGGAGAGAAGGAAGAATTAAGGGAATTTAGTTATGAAGTTATGAGAAATGGCAGTCTTACCTTCATTGTTCTTGTCGATGTTTGATTGTTTGTATGTAACAGTGACTGACTGACTGAGTGAGTGAGTGAGATGAGAATCCTAATGCTTATATACTATTCATTTGTTTGAAAACAATGTCTTGCATTGATTGAAGTGTCGTTAATTTGCCTGACTTGTCATGTTTAGGAATAAATCAGTGTTCATGAAATGGTTGAACTTTGTGTATGGTCATACAATATTAGGATATGACATCTACAATTTGTCAGCTGAATCCGGTTTTTGTTCACTGACTGTTACGCTGAAATTTAATGAATTCTCGTAGACTTTAATCTCACTAGATCCTAGTTATCTTCATGGCAACTCACTTTGTTTTGGCAATGGACGATGAATCGTTGATGTCAACTTCTTCATTTATTGTCTTGTGCTTTTCTTCTATTAATTTGTTGAGTTCCTAAATTGACGTGTGTTTCGATTTTCCTGAGGCTAGTTCGCTTGCTTTCTTGATCTTCCTAACATCATTCCTTAGTGTCAGCTTAATTACTCCCGTGAGAGCAACACAAAGATTGCTTTAAGTTGAACGGTAGCTTATGAAGAAATCCTACTATATATCACACTTCAATCTGTTGAGGTATTACACTGTTGAGAACACCGAACACTCGGAGTTGCATCCTGTGTGGCCTTTGGTATTATGGTGATGGTGGAATAGTCAATGTCAGTTGACAATGTGATGGATGTAGGTTGATTGGCTAGTCACTCAGTGTAGTGTTATTCTGTGGATGGTTAGTGTTGATTTACTGTGTATGTGTGTGTGTGGAAGTGTGCATATTTGCATGTGAATTGCTCTTTGTGTATTTGTGTGACGACTGTTGTGTGTATTGGTGTATAATTCACAGAATAGCTGATTTGTGCTGTGTATTGATGAAATAGTAGTTGGTTTGGTTTCAATGACTGTTGTAGGTAATTGAGTAGTAGTGTTGTTGAGTTTTGATTTGATTTGATGTTTTTGAGAGGCAAGAAGTATTACTGTTAATTGTAGCGTGTTGATAGTCAACATTTCAGCCGGAGCTTTCGCGTGTATATGTAGGCGTATGTGAGCACTATTTATATTGAACGCAGAAATGTTGTATACTCTTTACCACACAGAACAGGCCAGTTTCTCCCTACCGAATGTGAGTGACGACGTTTTCGTGTGCCATCATTTGTCTTACTGGGCGGCCGAAAAATGAGGCCACCGACTGTGAAATTACTGACACCGAGAAGAGATATGCAGCCGCACACACACACACCCACGTCATGGTTCATAACAAAATACGTTAGTCACTAAGACCCCGGTGATCCTTCATGGTTTTATTTCAATTACTACCAGAATAAAGCTTTTATTTGAGGTAAAGTTCTTCATGGAAATGACTTTTATGCACTAAGTCCCCGTTATCATATTCATCGTGAATGTATATCCATTGGAAATGATACGATCTAAAACTGATATTTCGCACGATATTCGCCATTTCGAGCTCTGCATACTACGAAGATGTAAATCAGTTTCACATTTGACGGAACCGACGGGAGAAAACCTAGCCATCACCACTCCAGTAGACAGTTTCAAATTTGGAAACGAGATTCAGAATTTCAATAAGACAGAGTTATGCGGTATCTGTTTATGCTGAATGTGTCAGTAGAAGAGACGGTCGATAAAACATGGAATCATACTGAAATAGTAGACTTCCCAACTTATAAGGAGAAAACATCCTTTTGGTAAGAGCGGTAGAAATGTTCAATTTCAGTTTCATTGTCTGATAGGAGGAATCAGTGTCAAATGGTTCAAATAGGCAGAACGATATCTAGGTCAATTTACAATCGTGTTACATTCAGTCATGTAATCATTCACTTCTCAAATCAAATCAGAATGTCACTCAGTCATCAAGATTTCACCTGACAAGCGACTCTAGATTGATTATAGGTGAACAGCTAAGCACTCTACACACTCAAATATATATATATATATATATATATTTGCAGTTATAAGCCAAGGTAGAATACTACACATAATTATCTCTTTTCACATCAACACAGAATGAAGGTGAGTGGCGAAATTCTAATCAAATCACTGCTCCTCTCTCTCTCTCTAACAATCCTATCAGGCATCTTCCTCCTCGTCTGCTTAACCGTCCTCGTCAGTCAAACACAAGGCTTAAGTAAGTTCACGAGATTCGTTAACAGCTGAATTCCTGTCTATGTCAATGTGCCTATTTCGCGATAATGATGACCTGTTTCTCTTCATTTCTCGCCAACCCACCCCTCTTCGCTGATGGAAACAATGCCGAAACGCAATACAAACTACTCAATACTCAATGCATCATGTCATATTCCACCATTGCACACACACACGTGACCGCTCTCAGTTCTGGATAAGATGTTCAACATTCTGCCTCCGACATTGAAGAAGCTGGTCAAGAAGGTGGTTCATTGGGCGTGTCCGAATGAGCGAGCACCAAGCGTAGGAGGCGGTGCGTCAGATGTGACGACTACGAAGAAGGTGACGAAGACGGTGAAAGAGTCTCGCAAATGATCAATCCTCGTTGATGTCATCACAAAATGTTGGCATATGTTCTCGCGATAATGAGTGAAGTGAATTGTGTGAACTACAATCTGTTCAATATTTTGGAATTAGTGCTCATAAATTTTGTTCGTTGTATACAATGCTTTATTATTTCTCCGAATGTAAATGGGCTGTGAATGACAGATGCTTTGCGCACATGATTTCAGCCGACTGTGCTGTTTATATTACGTTGTTGAGCAAAGATAAGTCAGCATTTACATGGAATCAGTCCAGCGAATATCATGAGTACCTGTTAAGAAGTCTCAGGTGAGGCATGAGAAATGTTTGTAGGGATATGATAATTTGGAATGGAAATCAAACAACGCGAAAACTGATTGCGATGGAGGGAAGATTTCCAGAATGCGTTAACAAGTACTCATCGCTACAAACACACGCATTTCCGGTCCTTCACATTTAGACTAGTAACGTTCCGATAGCTAGGACAAACAATCTGACGTACTCACAAGCGTTATTCCATTATTTGGTGAATGAGAATGAAATGTGCACAGAGTCACCAAATGTGACATCACCACTCAGAAAACTAACATTCATCGAAAAATTCTTTCTTCAACACCCATAACTCACCCGGATGTAGGGCAGTAGTTTGGTTGCTGAGTCTAACCTGAATGAAGTGGGCGACGGATGAACAATACATGCATATTCTGTCGTAACTAATGCACACTACACATAAGTTTATGTAGTCGATAATGACTCTCCAAATTGTCCGATGGTGAGATAGTCAAAATAGACAAATTGATGACATCATTCGTGAGGACAAAATGGATCACAGCTATGCCCTCGATACAATGATGTAGAATCAGCCACACGAAGACACTGCTAACAGTTATCGGAAAAGCTGACATCTTCCATCGCTAGTATCCTTATTCTTCAGTTTTGAAATGGAGGTTGGCAAAGTGCAATTTTACACCACTGATACTCATTACATTCAGTAACAAATAGTGGCGCCACACAATCACAGTGATTGGCTTTAGAACTGAGGGTTATCTCATCCACAGACAAATAGAGTTCTCAGTCCACTCTGAATTGAGCGCGTAGGAATTTGTGTGGACTGGTAACTAAGCAGTATAAAATACAATTCTGCTATGCATAGCTTCGTTGTCGTAGAAAGGGACAATCAGTGGTCACCGGTGTTTTAGTAGTTAAGACTGTCAAAATCCACTAAGAGGAATCCACATACAATGTGCAGTCATTCAAAACATAAGACAGAATGTGAACAGACAGCTGGGTGATATACTAGCGCATTTATAGTCAACAGAATATGAGTTTCATCATGGGTGTGGGGTAGTGATTTACATTCGCTGGTGTGAGAGAAATATTATTACCACGAAATACACACCAATAAATATCAACAAATTGGGAACGCTGAGTGTGAGCTCAAGAACTGACAGATATCAAGCGTAGTACAGCCGTTTGAAGAAGGAATATAAGATTTCTCACTTAGGATTCTCAGTGAGACTAGAATTAGGGTGGCATTTAAACCAGCGAACTCAATCAGAGAGCAACTTTTTCGGCTTTTTCTTGATAGATTCAATTAAGAAAAAATAAGATAGTTTAACATATATCACGTTATGACTTTGAGTGAGGTCAAGTACATAGGTCAGATACGCAACTCATTGTCAATTGGATTGTTGTGATATGAAAATCTATCTAGATCCAGATTGTCTGACCCCACTGAGTTATATAACGTGGAAAACAGTAAAGCCATCACATTTTATTTACCTATATATAATCATAAAACAGGGTTGGTCAGGGTGAAAGTAATAAAAAGTTATATATTTAGGTTGAGAGAAGGAGGTTAGTCTCTAAATCTTTGATTATTGATTCAACACCACACACCTGCAATCCGAATGACACAACGCCTCCACCGGAGATATAGAATGTGGCAAAAAACAACAAAGGGAAGTTCCAGACAGCGAGAAATAGAGGAAATATATACAGGGCAAATTGTACAACCGCGGTGAATAAACTGATATGAATATGCGCTATAATTTATGCTCTACACTGTGTGATATTAAAATTAAAATCATCTGATATGATGAACGAAGGGTTGCTAAAGTCTACGGTTGCAGCTTGCGATGCGGACACGATTTATCAGTAATACATAGAGAGAAGTTCACCGGCACAAAAATATCGAATAGCGGAGTGATAAACTTGACATCAAATAAAGCAAATGAACCAATTTTGCGACGAAACATGAGATAAACCTAAAGAAGACAAAGCAATTCAATACGAAGGTCAGAAGTAGTATAACACAGGAGACATGAAAAAATGAGGATTTTTAGATAAGGTGTACATAATTTCATTTATAAAGTTAAATTTGTAAAATCTCAGCGAAATTGAAATGGACTGTCTAGTAAAAAGAAAACTAGATGGAAAATTTTAAAATAAACATTTTCAGAAAGCCGACAAATTTGGATAGATACCTAGATTACTATTCAGTTCACCTATTTACCACCA